CATTGCAATCTTTTCCTACAAAGTGCTTTATTATGACTCTTCAAGCTTCCAGTGAGAAAAGTCTATTTTATTGCCATATTTTAAAGATAAGTCATCTGACTCTAAAAATAAAAGACTTAAAGGGTATGATGCCAGGGAACGACGTGTGAATTTTTTCCTATAAAGTGGGCTAGATTATTTCCCAGGATTCCAGGTGACTAGAGAAACTTTTTGAAGACTCGCTCTGACCGGTCATTTCCCAGCATAGGAGAGTGTAGTAGTGCAGCCTGTCCCACCAGCCACCGGGCAAAGCCATTCCCCTTCACGTTGACCAAAATCGGGCTCGAAAACTTCCCTTCCATTCAAGCCCCTGCTCCTGCATTCTCTGCTTCGTAAGTTAAGAGATTTCTCTTGAGATGCTGATTTGTACTTAAAAAAAAATGAACTTATGCTTGGAAAGCTTGCTGCAATATTATATGATGATGTAATTATTTATGTAGTCACGGCTGAGCCTATAGAAGCCAAAAGCTTTAAAATCTATATCTACAGTTATAGATTTAGACAGTACTCCTCCACGTCATTTACACACACACACACACACACACACACACACTCCTCAAATATTTCTTTAAGTTTCAGACCACTTTTGATGTAACTGTATTCTCTCTATTTTGACATTCTTAAAGCAGCCATAGTGAAGCTTAAGATTAAAATCACAAGTCTTGCAGTTCAGACAGAGAATAAAGTATAAACGCTGAAGGTGATCTCATGTGCTCAGAGTTAAGCCTTTAAAGGTCAAGCTGACTTAAAATATGGACCAAACAATATAGCTTTTAGAAAAGGAGCTTTCTTTACCCAGTCTTAACTAATGCAATGAAGAATATTTTCATCTTTATTATTAACAATGCTAGTTCAGCAATGCATTTTTTTCATGCTATTTTCCTCTTTTTAATTTGGGAATGTGACTCTTTGTAAAAATAGATATGCAGTAAATGATGGCAATAAATTAGGATCACAGTTTGCTGACTTAGAATAAAGGAAGCCCAGAACAATATATTGCCCATTTTAGGTTAATAGTTAGCAGAATTTTTATATAAGATGAACTTAACAACTCCTGAAAAGTTAAAAATAATTTCTGCTTCTATCATTTTTACATTAGCAGGGTCTAGGTCAGTGGCAATAACAAGGAGGCAGCTTGGAGGGGGGCTTTATTTAGCCCCCTCATAACCATCATCAGCCTCCCATCATAGCTACCCCAAACAGAATCCAACCAAAGTAGAGCACTGTGTATGCTATTCAAACTGAGCTCCAAACGAGTCCCCAGGCTGCTTCTTCCAATAGATGCTATCTCAAAGCTTCTCCTATCTTGAGAGTCTAGAGACACCCCTCATCTGAATATCTCTGTTTATATCCTCCCAATAACCATCATTCTGCCTTTTAAGAGTTTACGTCATAGTTTGGCCGTAAGAGCCTGGAGGTGGGGAGCCCACACACAGAGAGGGAAAACAAAAAAACAAGCCATTTTGCGCAAGGGACTCATTTGTACAAAAGTGCCAGACCACTGTGTACTGTGATCTGAGTTGAGCTAGATAATTTTTCTGGGCCTCAATTCCTCCACCCATAGAATGAAGGACTTAAAGGGGCTGATCTCCTAAGTCCTCTGCAGGGCTCCAAGCCTCGGATTCCTGGTCTCATAGCATATCTCAATTTGGATTGCTTATCAACACCTGCTACTGATCCTGCATACCTGGGTCCCTTTTGTTATCTTTAACCATTTTTCCGCAGGAAATGAAAAACTCGAGCAGGATAATTACAGAGAATCAAGCCAAGATGCTGCCCCATGGAGAAAGTCCCCTTAGCTCGGCACCCCTCCCATCACCCCACCACCACCAAATGAAAAGCTGTCTGGGGTGGAAACCTCCTGCAGAGTTGCATGGTCAGTGGGAGAAGCTGAGTAAGATCATATGAAGCAAACCACTCGGCTTATCTCTAGTCTCCCTTTCTTCCTTCCTTTACTCATGCTCACAGTAGAAACAAAGGGAAATGTTTTAAAGTTCCTGGCTTCTCCTCCCCTACAAAGGGGACTTTTCTGGAGAAGGGGAAGGGAGGGCAAAACAAAGAAGGAAACAATGACTTAGAACAGTCTACAGGAGGACTCCCACTGGCGCTCGGAAATGCTGGTTGCCTATTAGGTGCAGCCCCACATCCCCGGCAGGTGCTGCGGCTCCCGGAACCCTGGCTGAGGCCCAAGGGACCCGGACTTTGTGGGGAGGGGCTCCTGGGTCACTTGGCCACGGGAAAGAAAGCCTCGGGGTCAGCAAACTGCCAGTCCCCATAAGTAGATCTAATTATGACTGCTTACTTCAAAAAGAGGATTTAACCCAAAGCAGATTTAGCAGGGCAGTTTCCAAAGGGCAGCAGGAATCCCGGGCCTGACCTTTGAGAAAATCCTATAGGCTTCACTGCCTCCGGGACCTCGGCAAGCCAGTCACCGTAGACTCCTCAGATCGCAGAGCAATTCAGGGATGCCAACTTGAGTTATCAGGGTCCTGGTGGGGGTGTTTAATTTAGCATCATGGGTGTCTGGCAGAGCGTGCCCACAGCAGCATGTGCACTGGTGGTCAGTCAGAGGATTGTTCTGGGGGAAAACACTGACAGTAAAAAATAGAAAGTACTCAAGTATAACCTGTTAAGTCAAAAATACTATTTAAAAACCTTAAGGTGGTTTGATATGTAAGTAAGCATCAAAGATTTCCTAGTGAATTCGTATCTAATACAGGAAAGTTTGCTGATGTATCCCAATAGTGCTGCTGATCAAAGTATCAAAAGTATCTTAAGATAATTTTTTTTTTAATTTTTACTTTGATTTTTTTTTTTAAAGATTTTATTTATTTATTTGAGAGAGAGAATGAGATAGAGAGATCATGAGGGTCAGAGGGAGAAGCAGACTCCCCGCTGAGCAGGGAGCCTGATGTGGGACTCGATCCCGGGACTCCAGGATCATGACCTGAGCCGAAGGCAGTCGCTTAACCAACTGAGCCACCCAGGCACCCCTACTTTGATTTTAAAAACCTAGGTAGCACTTTGCTCAGGGGAAGTGGTTGCTGGAGTTGTTTTAGTAAAATGAGACAACTCCAAAAGGGTACAGAGGATTGGAATTGTTCATGTAGAGTTGATCAACATGAAGTTAGTAAATGAACACATCTGGGATAAGCTGATTGTAGAGTATAAAAGTACTTTGTGAACTATAAAGCTCTCCATCATGTGTTATTATTTCAATTACTCTCACAGAACACGAAAATCAGGAAGACAAAAAAGAAAGGAAAAGAAACAGCCTGGATAAGTACAGTCTCTCCATCCACACACTTCATTCAACTGATGAATCACTGAACTCTACCTCTGAAACATAATACACTATATGTTAATTAGTTGAATTTAAATAACATTTAAAAATAAATAAAAATAAATAAACCAACAACCCTGTAAGTGAATTGGTGCCACCTCAAGCATTCAGCTTACGGGGGAAACCGTAGAAAAGTCAGGTGTGTCTGGTTCTAAATCAAATCATTTACAACGTGACCGGAAAACAATTCACACAGGTGTTCTTTAAAATTATTTGATTTCAGATCTTTTAAGAAGTCACTATCAAACAAGCTCCTACTCTTTCACCTGACCACATTCCAACACAGAACCCCTACCCAGAGGGCTGTTGTAGACATGCATAATTTACACTGTCATTAAAACCTTGTTTGCAAGATCCATGCTTGAGGTTGGAAAGTTCACAGAGACTGAGGGAGTGGAGTTTATTCTCAGAGCTTGGTTACCCCAAAAATGTCAAATTAGGCCATCTATTTGTTCAAACACGAAGCTGATAAACCTTAGCTTACAGGAGCAGAAGACAGGCTTAAAGGAATGGAGAGTATCATACATTATGCTCCAGCAAAGAAAATTTTGTTCTCTTTTCCATTTCTCCTTCCCCAAGGGATGTGCCAAGTCCAACAATAAGTAAAAATTACCAATAATTTTTTAAACATTTAACAAAAACCTGTGTTGCTTCATGCGTTTATTTACTTACTGTGACAGCTTTTTCTTATAAGCAAACTAATCTGGGAAAACCATCTCTCTTTCTCGTAACTAAATATATGATAAAGCTGGGATTAGGAAAGCTGTCTCCAAGTGGCTCTTAATTTGCAAGTCCTAAACACAGAAGCAGACACGCTTGGTAACTCAAAGCATCAGGATTAGATGTCACCGGTTTCAAAGATTGTGGAATTCACAGACATAACCATTCAGCGGAGGAAAGAAAAGGGAGAGAATAAGCTAAAAAGGAGATGCTGAGCAAAACTGGAGAGTACAGAAGAGTTCATTACAAAACTTTTCAAGTTGGAGTCTCGACTTCAAACGTGGTGATCCCGGGGTCTGAAAGAACTACCTGCCAGGACAGATATCAATGCTCAACATGCGGAGGTTTTATTTGGGGTTGTTTTTGTTATTGTTTTTTTACACTGAGTTTTAAGAGTTATGCAACCCTTAGAAAGCAGGTAGTTCTAGTCATTAAGTAATTTATACACAACCAAATATTAAGATTTTCTGTTGTGGTATTAGGAATGAACAGGATTCATTTTAAATGGTTAAGCTTACAAATTTTTCAACCACTTATTCAGGAAGTAAAAGTAGATTATTTTCCATAGAAGGAAACTAGTAGAGAGGCTTTTCGAATGTAGGTGCTTCATTGATCATATATTAGCTCCCCAGGTTTGTTTCCACCTATATGGCTTTATGGCTTTCAACGTCCTAGAGGGAATCAGGTGTCCCACCCCATGCACCCCCAAACCTATTCACATGGATGATTGTCTCACTTTCTACAAGCCATTCAGGTCACAAACCACTTGGAACTTGAAGTCAGAACCTGGGCACCCGTCTGTGGTGTCACCGGGCTGAAGTCGGCTCCCGGACCAGAGGGACAGAGACTAAAGGACGGCAGGGATCTCCCTGCAACTGGGGGCACGCGTGCACATTACCTCTCCCGCTCCTGCTCCAGCAGGTTGGTGAAGTCGTCGCTCTTGTTCATGTAGTCAGTGTGTTTGTGCTTCTCGCTCTCTAACTCGTACACCGTGCGCCGGTGACACTTCTCCGCCAGCAGCAACTGCTCTAGCATGCGCCGGTACGTCTCCTTCTGTTTCTCCTCAAGTCTGTCCAGCTGTGTAAACCAACATGGGAAAGAGCTTACTATTTCATTTGATTTGCATAGGACTCAAAATATTGTATTGGTCTACCGATTTATTATCTGAAGGAGAGAACATTGCGTCTGGTGTCCTCTGCCATTTTCCCTATCCCATCATTTTGTCTAGGCCAACTGGTTCTCCAAACTAGCCGTAAAAGGCTGCAGTAACTTCTGGCCTCCTGGACCTTCTGCTGCAAGCAGATGTATGGTTCCTCAACTTTTGAGAGAACAAACTCTTTCGCTATTTCCGTGAGATGGCACAAAACCTTATACTTAGCAAGAAAGAGGGTAACGGTTCTCCCAGTCTCAGAAAAATTAAGAGCTCAGGGGGCGCCTGGGTGGCTCAGTCGGTTAGGTGACTGCCTTCAGCTCAGGTCATGATCCTGGAGTCCCGGGATCGAGTCCCGCATTGGGCTCCCTGCTCGGCAGGGGGTCAGCTTCTCCCTCTGATCTTCCCCCCTCTCGAGTGCTTTCTCTCATTCTCTCTCTCAAATAAATAAATAAAATCTTTAAAAAAAAAATTAAGAGCTCAGCATGGTACCTGCACCACACTTCTCCCCTGGGAGGTCATTATCATCATCACAATCTTTTTTAAGACTTGCCATTACATGCACTTCTAGGAAAAGTATGGGAAGGATCCACAGTCCTCTCTCTTCAAAATATGATAAATATAGGGAGGATTTCAGGACTTAGAGAGAGCACATGTCTCAGACTAAAAGAGATGCTGTCAAATATTATTACAGGACTTTTTCAAAAAAGAATTTATTTATTTATTTGAGAGGGGGGAGCGAGAGAAAGCGTGTGCGTGGGTGGGGGGAGGGGCAGAGGGCGAAGGAGAGAATCTCATGCAGACTCGCTGTTGAGTGTGAAGACTGTCGCAAGGCTGGATCCCACGACCCTGAGAGCATGACCTGAGCCGAAATCAAGAGTAGGATGCTTAACGGACTGAGCCACCCAGGTGCCCCAATTACAGGGCTTTTTGTGCCTATTTGTCTGCCAGGCTAGAAGATCTTTAAAGGGAGCCTTGATGAAGTTTTTAGTTTCTGCTACCTAACACAGTGCCTGGGACAAAGTAAGTGTTCAGTAAATGTTTGTTCAGTTGGACCAAATCTTGCAATATTAATAGTTCCCTATCCTAGTCTCCTCTTCAAACTCTAGTACAGGGTTTCTCAACTTCAGTACTACTGACATTTTTGGCCAAATCATCCTTTATTTGGGGCAGCTGTTTTGTGCACTGGAGGATGTGTGGCAGCATCCTGGACATGCACTGGGTGTGTGACAGCATGTGCAAAGGATATGTGGCAGCATCCTTGGTCTCTGCCCCCTAGGTGCCAGTAGTACTACTTCTGACTGTGGCAAACCTATCCTCAGAAGTTGCCAAATGTCCCTCGGAGGGCAAAACACTTCCACCACCACCCACCCCAAACTGAGAACCACGGCTTTAGTTGAAACATATTTAAAATCCATTCTCAATCTACAACCTACCCCCTAAAACTTAATGGGGGTAATTCCATGCGGCATCAGCATCAGAGTTCTTCCACTGGGTTCTCCATGTTTGTCCCTCAGTCATACGGAGGACCTGAGGTTACCTCTACAGTTGTGTGAGATCTTCATTGTGGGGATCATTTCTGGGCCCCCAAATAAAGGAGATACTGCCTGCATAATCCTTAGTGTTTCTGACCAGATCTCCATCCCTTTGTGTAAGAGCCTGTGACTAGACAGACTGGTAGAGAAGCCCAGGTTAACTGGTGGCAAATAATATTTGATACCATTAGGGATTGGCAAATTGTACTTTTATGTCTCCTGGTAAATTTCTGTAGTCTTAAAAGGACAGCTTCTACAAGACATTTCCTTTATTGGAATATCCCTATTACAAACTATTCTCCCCAGGAACTCTTCCATCTTTTTACTATGTGATTTTCATTATATATTATAGAATTTGTCAAGCATTTTTAAAGTATCATCATCACCATCATCAATGTAGAAAGAGCAACTCTTTCCCTCTTTTGATCCTTTCTACTTTATCATGAAGTAGGACCCACATTTCTTTTGAAAGTACTTGGAAAGCAGCTTCTGCCTATTTCTTCATACCTTCCCTTAGGGAAGGAGGGGTGACTTATTTGAAAGTTGTAACCCAGCAATTGCACTACTAGGTATTTACCCAAAGGACACAAAAAATACTGATTCAAAGGGGCACATGCACCCCTATGGTTTATAGCAGCATTATCAACAATAGCCAAACTATGGAAAGAACCCAAGTGTCCATCGACTAATGAATGGATAAAGAAGATGTGATATATATATGTAAATATATATATAATGGAATATTACTCAGCCATCAAAAAGAATGAAATCTTGCCATTTGCAACAACATGGATGGAACTAGAGAGTATACTGTTAAGCGAAATAAGTCAGAGAAAGACAAATACCATATGATTTCACTCATGTGGGATTTAAGAAGCAAAACAGATGAACATAAGGGAAAGGAAAAAGAAACAAATAATACATTATATGTTAAAAAAAAAAAGAAGATAGCAGGAGGGGAAGAATGAAGGGGGGGAAATCGGAGGGGGAGACGAACCATGAGAGACTATGGACTCTGAAAAACAAACTGAAGGTTCTAGAGGGGAGGGGGGTGGGGGGATAGGTTGGCCTGGTGATGGGTATTAAGGAGGGCACATTCTGAATGGAGCACTGGGTGTTATGTGCAAACAATGAATCATGGAACACTACATCAAAAACTAATGATATAATGTATGGTGATTAACATAACAGAATAAAAAAATTGAAAAAAGAAAAAAGAAAGTTATATTTGGGTTAGGGAACTAGGCATAAGCAGCTCAGCCTTTTCATTTCTTATTTTTTGACTCTGCCTGCCATAAAATGGTACACTGTGCTCTGAAGGCCCAAACTCTCCTTCAAGTGGTTTCTCCAAAGTCTAGGAGGGAAAGCAATAGAAAGTCTGGTGGTATTCATTTGTCTATTCAGACCAATAATAAAACTAAATGCTTTAACTCATCTATCCAACTCCTGCAGTTCCCTTCAAGGAACTCTGGAGGGGAAGATGGGGACATTATTAACTGAATAGCTAAGATATTCAGAAAAATAGACATTGTGAGGGCATGTGGAGAAAAACAGCTTATGTTGATATGACGTGTTCTGAGTCAGCCTAGGTAGAAGGTAGACATTAGCTTTAGTATGTCCTGTCCACATGGGTCTTTGAGATTGATTGTTCTCAGCAGCTACAGTCCTGGGGCTAGCCCACTGGAGCAGTTGCTGGGGTCTCAGTGGGCTATGTTCCCCTCACCTACACTAGCATAGCTTGACCCCAACACTGATTACATAATCAGGAAGACATCTTTTTGTCTTGTAACACACTGAAAGAGTGCCAAGACGCTGGTGTGCACACTGTTTTTCACACAGAACTGCAGGCCCAGCCTTTAAATTGCAGAAGTAGCAAATTCCTTTTTAGCAATAAAGCATTCATGTGTGAGGATCTAGCTTTCAATTTTAAATTCTAGATGTAAGAACCAACCTACATAGCAAGAGATCAGCTGTATGAGACCCTGTTTCTTATTATTTTGTTTGGAACTACATAGAGCTCCCAGGAGAGAACTTAGGTGGGCTAAGCTCTCTCTTGGATCTATGTGGCTTGTCTAGAGGCTCTGAAGACCACCTCCCATAACTATGGGCTCTGTTGATTCATTAATCATGTACACTGTGTCCATGACTTTTGATTTTCAGGATCCAAACTGTGGCTCAACCATAGAGGAATAGTTGCTTTTATTAATGAATAGTGAAAGTGAAATGGGAACCTGTTACTTTAGAAATACAGCTCCCACTTGGACCGAGGTGGAAGGAAACTGAAATGAAATCATCATAACACTGAAGGCCAAAAGGAGAGTATACCTGGAAGTCTTATTCTACTAAATCAAGTTGATGGAGAAGAGGTTTAAGGACTTGAGATGGAGAGAAATTTCAGCATGTTTTAGACAAAAGAATCATGGTTGAGGAAGTGCTTTTAGCTGTTATCAGCAGAAGGCTAACTGGAGAAGTATTAAGGGATTTGTGAAGAGACAGATCTACTGAATCTAAATCTAAATCTAAGTCTACTAAAGAGGAAAAAAAAGACTTAAAGACCAAACTGGAATACACAAGAGAGAAATGGATCTAAGTGCTATAAAAGATAGGGCTATAAAGAAGGGAGATATTTTAGTCATTATTTGAATCAAAATGAGTGACCAGAGGAGGTAGAGATAGGTGAGCACAGAGAACAGAACAATGTGAGTCCCCCCACAAAAAGTGTTGGAATCCAGAAAATGTCTGAGGAATGTGCTGTAAAACTGCTGATAGTTCTCCATGAGATCAGTTGGGAGCCATTCTCTTGAAGACTGCAACAGCTATTCGAAGTGGATACATAAAATATAGACAGATTTAAGAATTAAATTCTGAGAAGATTAAGGTAGAACATTTGACGCATTATTTGGTGAGTTTCAGGGTGTCAGCTAAAATAGATGGGCCCTGAGTGAACACGCTTGAGAATCTTGGAGATGTAGAGTTTGAAGGAAAGATGAGTCAAACATCAGGGGATTCAGGCAGGAGAGTAACATAAACAGTTCAAATATGGATATAGTGAGATGAGAAAAGATCTGTCAGTGAGGATTATCCAACCCAAGGACATAAACGTAGATAAGATTTGTCTTATACAAAGGATCCTCTTGGCAGGCTCATAACTCCTTGATTTTACTTCTATCACTGAGGGAGACCATATAATACAGAACACAGAAGGTTAACTGCCCCAGACTGACTAGAATCCTGTTGTAGTTAAAGGATTTTCTCTACCTGCCTTCCTTCCCTTAGACATCGCCTAAGTCTCTACTTTGGTCTTGCTAAGAGTAACATGGGCCTGCATTATGCTGAGTCATTTTGCTTGAGATAAACTGACTATGGAACTGAGGATTTTCTTGTATTTTTAATACTTATGCATGTAAGGTTGGTATTATGATATTTTCATGTGTTCTAATAATTCTTTAGACTCTTCAATTAAAGGGGAATAGGGGGACTTTAGGATATATTAGTTAAACTTTGAAAATGCTTAAGATTAAGATTCTTCTGGCTAAGGCTAAGCAGAATAAGAATTTGGGAAGGAAAGACACTGAAACCTTGATTTCTTTGGAATTTTACTTAAGAATTATGAACTTTCATATCCTGGATTTTAATTCACAAAGAAGCTCAGGGGGATTTAATATTTGCTGCTTAATTTCTCCCCAGATATTTGGCAAGGCAGAGGGGGTCCACCACATGGGGTTCATTGCTTAACCTCTGGTGAGTTCTATTGGATAACCTAGCTGGGCCTAATTTGGTACGGAAATTAAAATGAGCAGTGATTTTGGGGCTTGAGATGCAGCATGGCTTCTAAGAATAAGAGCTAGACTATCCGCTCATGGTCCCAGGAGGCTAATGGAACAGTGATTGTATTGGGATCGTCCCTCATGAAGTTGGAAGAAGGACTCCTGCTCCTGGGTAACAACAACTTGATTGTTAAATCCGAAAGGTTAGGAGACCCCAAATTTGTACATGGTAGAAGATAAATCTTTTCTCCTTCTAGCATTCTATTTTTCCCACAAAGCGGGACCTTACCATTTTGTCAGAATTGGGAAAAGTAGCCTCTGTCTTTCTCTCTACCTCTTCACTCACTCCTCCCCAAGTGAGGAATAACTCTTTAGATTGTGAGTTGAGGGGAGAAAGAAACCAAAAAGCTTGTCCAGCTAAGCCAGTTCTAAAAGGACCACCCACAGGGTGGGTGTTTTCTGCTCTGCTCTGCTCTTCTGCCCACAAGATAGGAACCCTTGGGTTAGGCCTACTTTCTGACGGTAGGTCAGAAACTCCTTCTTTGTGTACTTTCCATAGAACTCACTGGGTTAGAGGCAGTGCTTTTGGGTAAGTGTGTGTGCTTTCAGACCTACCTCTCCTTTGAGGTGTTATCCCAAGCTCTAACTTGGGAGAAAAGAATTAGGAAACTTAAATGATATCCAAACTGAGTTCTCCAATCCAGGGGGTTATCGTAAGAATATTTAATGAATATTTTGACCTCATTATGTCTTTCACGCCTCAAACCCCTCCAAGTTTGGAACTAATTATAGGTGTGAGTGAATATCACTGCTCAAATCCCGGCAAATGCTAATGGATAGTATTTGTTGAGTACTCAGTATGTACCAGACACTGTGTTAAGAGCTTTACAGACATTGCTTCATTTAATCTTTACAACAACTCTAGGAGATACACACTGTTGTTACTCCCACCTGACAGAGAAGGAAATAAGCTTAGAGAGCTGAAGTGACCTGCCCAAAGCCATATGCAGCTGGTAACCGTGGCTCTCAGACATGGAAGTGGATCCTGTCATTTGACTGCATCCCATCATAAATCATTTCTTAACATTTTAGGCAAAGATTAAAACGAGCTCCAGCTTATCCTTGCTGCAGAAATTAGGGTAATTACGGGACCATCAGTCTGCTGTGAATAATATCTCAAGCGGATCTTATCTGAGATCTGTCAAACTGAGCTTCTACAAAGGCATCACATAAGATATTATCTTTTATATTATATTATTATCTTTTATATTATAATAGATAGCTTCACTTTTAATTTCTGTGTTCTTTTTCTTCATTTATGATGCTAATTTCATATCTCTGCATTTTTTTTACATGAATTCTCAAGTCAGTATGGCTAGATCTAGCAACTATTTCCCTAATTTAGCCTCAAACTTCTACTACAACATGAGAATACTTTTAACATGTAGTATCATGGGAAATTAATAACAATAGTAAATAGTTCCTAACACAATCTTATATAAAAATGATTAAATATAGCCCTATTAGATTGCATCTTAAAGAATTGTCCTAAGCATTTCATTGGGATTTTGCCTCAACCACTGCATTTTAGCTACTCACATGAGACCATTTTAACTATGACAGAGTCTGTGAGATACTAACATACAGTCCCTTTGTAAATATCAATAATAAAATAAATGTCCATCAATACAATATCAATAATCAATCTAATTTTAGGTTACCAATTTAATAATGATCCTGACAACTCAATGCCAAAACTGATGAGCACTTCAAATTTTTACACACATCATCTCCTAGAGAAATAAAAGAATAACAGACTGCAAGAGCATGTAATTAGCGTAATCACATGAGAAATATGTTTCAGGCTTTAAGTATATTTAAGGAAATGCTTCTAAAATTCTTATCATTGCAATGCATCCACTATAATTCATGTAATTCATATTACATTGTAAATTCATATAATTTATTTAATTACACTTTAATTCTATACTAGTGTATCATAAAAATTTTGCCTTTGAAAGAAAATGTTAAAGCATGTAAAATAGAAAACGTGAAGCCATCACTCTGAGGTACCCTTATATACGGGAACTTGTTGATGTCATATTTTTACCTCTGAAATCGGTTTCTCATATACATCTTCTCCTATAGACTTCTCCTGGGCTAGGATGGCGTCTCGGTGCAGGACTCGCAGCACTTTTTCTGGCTCTGCAGACCCATAATGAGCCTCCAGAACCTCAGGCTTGGTTTTCTCTGTCTTCAGCATGTGGATCACATCCTCCCTGGCCTGTGGTAGAGTGCGGCAAGGTCAGACGGTTGACAACATAAATCACATGCCAGACTCACAAAATCAACACAAAGCTTATTGAACACATCCCCATCTCTTCGGGACTATTGGCAAATTCACTGGGTATTTTGTTCTTATTTTTTATCAGAAGCAGATTGGCAAGCAGATACTCTGCTTCAGGTTGCTAGGAAGCAGGCAAGCAGAAAACAGATTTGTGCTAATATTAACTACATAAAAATTGCTTTATCTAAGTAGAAAAGATTCTGAGTGCTTTTGAATCAGGAGGACCTGGGATACTTCCCCATTTCACTGTAAATAAGGTCAAGGACAATTTAAAGTTTTCTAGTTTTCTATTTATGCTCTCAAAGAAGTATTCAAATCTGGTTTCCCCATTCTAGTTATAACTCTATGTGTAATTAACAAAAGCAGCCTTTATTAGTGAGTTCCTGTTTCCCATCAAGTGATTCATTTTATACAGAAACACATGGTTGGGAACTCACATGGTGCTGGACTGGGCTTTTTGATCTAAGACATTCACAATAAAGGTGAAATTTAACTCCTGTAACATCCAGACTACCAATCACATGAGCCAAATTGGTGGGGTCAGTGTTGTTCTTTTGGTTTCTCAGCAAAACTCCAGGACTTTGTTGAGTTCTTGAGAAAACCACATGATTATAGGTTTTATATCATATTGACTATGGATCTCATCACATAATGCAAATACATCTGGATGTATTTTCTACTGGTTAGTAGTGATGAATTTTCTATTTATGATGGAGCTGACATTTGGTAAATGTACCCCCATCTGGTCATATACTTGTTTTTTCCAGTAATGGTGATGGGTATGAAGTATCCGGACCTCATGCCAACTTATACCAAAGAACAAACTGGTGGGCAAGAGTTGCAGTCTATGGCAATAGAATAGAGTTTTCCCCTGTGTTACGCTAACTATGGGTTTGAAATTATAAACCTGGCTCATTGTCATGGTATTCTAAACAAAGGAGCTAACTAGTTAGTCTCAAGACAGGAGCATTATAAAGTTTCTCTTTCTTGGGGCACCTGGGTGGCTCAGATGGTTAAGCGTCTGCCTTCGGCTCAGGTCATGATCCCAGGGTCCCGGGATCGAGTCCCGCATCGGGCTCCCTGCTCTGCGGGGAGCCTGCTTCTCCCTCTGCCTCTCTCTCTCTCTCTCTGTCTGTCACGAATAAATAAATAAAATCTTTTAAAAAAAAAGTTTCTCTTTCTTGAGGTTTCTCACTTTTATTGCTTTTTCATAGTCTCAAAATTAATCTAATTCCAGATGGCTAAAGACTATTATGGAAACGTCAATAGACTGGAATTTGCAGATTTTCCCCATGTTGTCTCTGCCACATTTATATGTGCTCATTTCAAGACAAAAATTGGAAAATACTAATTTTGAAGTAACTAGTAGTTTGGAATTAGCAAGAAAGTTAAAGTCAGAAAATAATTTAATGGAAAAGCAATGTGTTTCCACATAGAATGAAAGAACTTAAGCATAGATACAGTACCAGGCTATCCTGTACAGTATCTTTGTGCAGTTTAGAAAAAGGTGTCTACTTCCTCTGGGAGATACAGCCTGAGTCAGAGTGCAGCTTACCTAGCAAGAAAAGAAAGGGCTATATTTCAACCCCTATCTATCCCATCTCCCAGGCACCCTCTTGTGCAAGGTATAACTCCATTCTGTAAATGGTGGCCCTGTACTGAAGGAGCCTAAGGTCTGTCATTGGTTATTGGTTTTCAGGCAAATAATATAAATAAGGAGCTTTTAGAAATGTAAATAGGTAGCTATTTCAGTTCAAAAGTTTAAGCTATGTGGTTTTAAAGCATGTAAATATTATTGGTATCTATCTTCTTGACCAAATCTTCTTAATCCTCTTAGAAGATAATAGTTTCTTCTGTTCCAACTGATATGAAACACTTTTTTCTTCTCTCCCTAAAAATGTGCTTATGCTTGAGTTGTATTAACTGTGATATGCTACATATACCACACATTTCATTCTTAGTTTAATTACTCTAGACACTAATTACCAAAGAAAAAGAGGCTATGGTGGTATAACACTGGGCATTATATATTTAGAATCACACTATTCATCATGAGCTTACTAAAAGCTTTTTAATTGCTATAATAATAATCCTGAAGGAATACAAATGTTGCCTATAAATCACTACTATTTAAAGTAGTTTAATATAGTAAATCAATCATTATTATTATGGTGTCTGTTTAATCCATGAGTTAATGAAATGACCATAATCACAATAAATTTTTTAACTATTTTATATGATTTAATGTATGTAAATAAGGTCCTACGTTTTGGGGATAAAACCACTTTACATCCCCATTTTAAGAAACTTCTTAATTTTTTTTAAAGATTTATTTATTTATTGAAGAGAGACAGTGTATGTGCAGGGGGAGGGGCAGAGGGAGAAGGAGGGAGAAACTTGAGCAGACTCCATGCTGAACACAGAGCCCGCCGTGGGTTCCATCTCAGGGCTCTGAGATCACGACCTGAGCCAAAACCAAGCTTCTTAACCACTGTGGCACCCAGGCGCCCCAAAACTTCTTAATTTTTATATAAAAGAATGAAATACAAGATGTAAGAAGGTTCCTGTCCTTAAACATTACTGTTTTCACACAGAAATTTCATCAGAAGCAAGTAGTTAAATTCTTAGGGTGCTGCAGCGGTGCTAAATAGACCAATGTATTTATATATATGTAAAAGGACCCAGAGGGGAGAATACTTTGAAGAGGACTCTAGAAAAGAGAGAGAAAGGGGTCAGAGGAGGAAGGGACTAAATCAAATTGTTCAATTTATTTAGTCCTGATGATGAAGGAGAATAAATATGAGATTAGGGTATAAAAACAGACACAGAGGGGGTCACATCTTCTCTTCCATCCTATAAGTTCCTCTTTGTGCCAAGGGAGACATATGGAAGCCAAGAACAAAGATGTCCCTGCAGAACTGTAACTGCACCAGATGGAGCAAGGGGTTGTCTCAACTGGCTACAGAAGGAACTGATTAAAAACATATGGGGGCAGCAAAGAGCTACTCTGCAAAGCCCAGGGCCAACAGGTGAGTGTGTGATTAATCTTAAAAAGTCAACAGAGGGTTTCTGGGCTTTGCTGGGAGAGCAGGGAACTGGCGGGGGGCAGGGGGGAGCGGGCTAGGGGGCAGAATGAGACGCAAAACAGGTAGAGCCACAAACAGGTGGCATAGTTAAAAAAAAAAAAAAAAGAGTTAAATCCAATCATTCATTCAATAAATATTTGTGCACATTCACTTTGGGCAATGCATTGTGTTCAGTATTGGAGCTATAACTGCGTCATCAGAGATTAAACCTGGAAGGATATGAACAAATAATTGAAAGGCATTGACATGATAAGTCTTAGGATGGAGGAGATACAGGGGGCTAAGAACTCCATCTAAAAATACACTTGACTTGAATATAAGCTAAGGAAAAGGCTTCACAGAGGAAGTGACCCAAAAATCTCATATTATGAGTACCTGAGCCAGAGAAAGAGGGGAACTAGGGTAAGAGTGTTCTTGGCCAAGGAAAAACTGTAGGCAAAAGCCAAACAGATGTAGATGCATGGGCTGGAAAACATGAGGCTGGAGTGATAAATAATGGGCAACTCATGAAAAGCCTTGTAAGCCAGGTAGTGAGTTTGCATTTTCTCATGGAACCGCAAGAAGCCTTGAAATTTTTAAGCAGCAGGACAGTGACATGGTCAGGTTTGTGTGGTAGAAAGATCATTTACCCTGTTAAAAACGTACAAACTCTGAATCAACAAGTGTGTTGGTGCAGTCCAGGACATGTGATTTAAAATCTCTGCAAGACCCACAGCTAAAATCATACTCAATGGGGAAAAATTGAGAGCTTTCCCCCTAAGATCAGAACAAGAGAAGGATGTACACTCTCACTACTTTTATTCAACATAGTACTGGAAGTCCTAGCCACAGCAATCAGATAAGAAATTAAATAAAAGGCATTCAAACTGGTAAAGAAGTAAAACTTTCACTCTTTGCAGATGACATACTACAGATAGAAAACCCTAAAGACTCCATCAAAAAACTACCAGATAGAACAATTACATTGAATTCAGGATACAAAATCAATATTCAGAAATTTGTCACATTTCTATATAGTAATAATGAGGTAGCAGAAAGAGAAATTAAGAAAACAATCCCGTTTATAATTGCACCAAAAATAATACAAGACCTAGGAATAAACGTAACCAAGGAAATGAAAGACTTGTACTCTGAAAACTATAAAACATTGATGGAGAAATTGAAGATGACCCAAACAAATGGAAAGATATTCCATGCTCATGGATTGGTAAAACAAATGTTATTAAAATGTCCATACTACCCAAAGAAATTTACAGATTTAATTCAATCATTATCAAAATATCAACAGCATTTTTCACAAAACTAGAACAAAAAATTCTAAAATGTATATGGAACCACAAAAGACCCAGAATAGCCAAAGCAATCTTGAAAAAGAAGAACAAAACTGGAGGTATCACAATCCCAGATTTCAAGATAGACTACACAGCTGTAGTAATCAAAACAGTATAGTACTGGCACAAAAATGGACACATAGATCAATGGAACAGAGTTGAGAACCCAGAAATAAACCCCCACTTATATGGTCAATTAATCTACAATAAAGAAGGCAAGAATATGCAATGGGAAAAAGCCAGTCTCTTCAACAAATGATGTTGGGAGAACTGGACAAGTATATGCAAAAAAATGAGATTGGACTACTTTCTTATACCATACACAAAAATAAACTCAAAATGGATTAAAGACATAAACATGAGACCTAAGACCATAAAAATCCTAGAAGAGAGCACAGGCAATCATTTCTCTGACATTGGCCATAATAACGTCTTTCTAGATATGTCTCCTGGGGCAAGGGAAACAAGAGCAAAAATAAACTATTAGGACTACATCATAATGAAAACTTCTGCACAGTGA